TTTAAATGTTTTTTATCTGTCTGTAGGCCGCCCAGAGTCCCTAGGGAGTGGGCGGCATACAAATTTTATTAAATTGGAAATTGTACTCCCTCTTACGAAATTTCTAGGCTTAGAAATTAGTTCTAGGCTGCTTCTCTCCTTGATTGGTTTCCATCCATTGTTTCTTGTCATGCTTTCTGGTGCTTTGGAGAATAGGTTGACACCCCCCCCCTCCGGCTCTCTTCCTTGTGGCAAAACATTGGAACACTGCTAACGTGTCACCCCTTGTCCTTCTTTTCACTAGACTAGACCAGGCGTCTGTAACTTTAAACATTCAAAGAGCCATTGGGACCAGTTTCCCACAGGAAAAAAACAAACACTGGGAGCCACAAAACTTGGATGGGCGTGGCCAACTTGACGTCACTCTGTCTCAATCACGTGACTCTTTCCCTCCCTCCCTCTTTCTGTCTCTTGTCTCTCTTTCCCTCCCCCCTCTCACTCTTTCCCTCTTTCCTACCCTCTCTATCTCTTTCCCTCTCTCTCTCCCCCCCCTTTTCTGTCTCTCCCACTGGAGACAAGGAACCTCTGAACTGATGCTGGGTATTGGGAATCTGACCTCTGGAAGCCGACGAGCGCAGGAGCAGTGCACCGAAGATCAGCTGGTCGTTGAAGAGCCGAAGGGGGAAGCGGGGCATCATAACACCGGTGGCTCTGCAGGAAAAACAACTGACATTTGGGAGGCGAGAGCGAGCCAACAACGATGCTGATGTTGCCTGTGACAAGTGGGGCAGCGTCGCATTGTGGCTCTGCATCGTAATGGGCTCCGGGAGGAGAGGACCCTGTCTCCCCCATTGTGAAGCGTGCTAATTTTCACTTTGTTGCGCAAGACGCTGCTAGCGTAGCGGGCAGGCCATGGAGGCAGCAACAGCAAATATACCGCGTCGAAGGTGGAGTGCTGTTTCGGCAAGTGCAGGGGCGCTTCGCTCCCATACTAAGGCTCCGGCCAACACCACGACAGGGCAGCAGCTCTTTCATCCCTCTGCCGCGACAGGGAGCCGCAGCAGAGGGACGAAAGAGCCACATGCGGCTCTGGAGCCGCGGGTTGCGGTCTCCCGGACTAGACGTACCCAATTCCTGCAACCATTCTTCATGTTTTAGCCTCCAGTCCCTTAATAATGTTTATTGCGTTTTTCGGCACTCTTTCCAGAGTAAAATAGAATAAAATAGCCATATGAGAATATAAGATAAGATCATAACATAATAATAAGATTGCCATATGAGAACCTGGGACCAAGGAATACTTTATTGTCAATAACCAGGCAGAAAGAGGGCTCCATGGCACCTTATTAAACAAACTGGTCTGGAAGCAAACACAGCTCCAGGATTCCCAGCGCGCTTCTTCTTCTTCTGAACTTCCTCTTTTGAGGCTCTTGCTGTTTTATGAACCTGGAATCATCTCCTTGAGATCCTGGGTGGAGCCAGGCTTTTTGTGCTGGTGTCTCATCTGGGGTGTGTGAAGCATGACATTCCTATCCTGCCCACTTCCCGATTAGTGAACTTCCTGTCCCTCCCCCCCTGCCCCGAACTAGCCAGTTCTGAATGAAAGAGAGGGAAAGCGCCCCTCTCGCCTAGGTGGAAAGCATCTTCCCAGTCCCAGCTGGAGCAGAATGATCTGCATTGGCTTCAGGCTGTGGAGAAGACAGAGCTACTGTGGTCTAGCAGAAAGAGGCTTGATGTCCCGGGTCTTCATGTATGAAAGCAGCTGCTCTGGGATTTCAGCTAGGACATCTTTCGCCAGGCGTGCCATGCTTAAAATGTGGTTGCCGGAATGGTCTACGTAGTCTCGGAAGGGCACAAACTACAACAGCAGGAAAGACACAAAAAGGCAGCGGGTGCTGAATTAGATTCCCAAGTCTGGTGCAATCTTCTTGGTAATCAATAGCAACAGAAGAAGGAAAAATTCGTATTTCCCAACTCAGTTTACACGAGCAAAGATACGAGAGCTGAATACCCACCCATACTGTACAGCAATACCATTTAGGTTTATATACCAGCCCATAGCACTTTATAGAAGTTTATAATGTAGGAACATTATTTACATATTGCCTTTAACAATCTGGGTCTTCATTTTACCGACCTCGGAAGGATGGATGGCTGAGTCAACCTTGAGCCAGTGAGAATTGAATTCCTGGCAGTGGGCAGAATTAGGATCGAACTCCAGACTGCGGGCAGAGTTTGCCTGCAATACCGCACTTTAACCACGGCGCCACCAGTACCCATTTCTGTTGCCCTAGAAATATGTAGATCCACTCTATCTGTCATATTGCCAATATTTTAATTTTGTTTTCATATGCCCATTAGCAATTCAGGTCCATAAAACTGACACTGAGATTGATCATAGCTCATCTGCAGGTTTATACGTTTTGCAAGAAAGCTAAGATGCTCAAATAAGTACGGTATTTTTCAGACTTAATTCTATTTTAATTCCTAAATCGCAGCTATGAACAGCAACAAAAATCCTGCTGTTTCTCTTGGAAACATGAACTTTGCACACTATCCTTTGCACTGCAAGGATAAGTTAATACTGTAAAATCATATCAAAATAAGTGCCGTATTTTCAGGCTGACAATCTAATCTGGATGAGAAAGTAAGGGTTGATGGTTCCACCACAAAATCACGGAGGACAAAATCGCGCTCGACGAAAGCGCGCATTTGACGTCATCACA